TTAGTTTCAGCATACCATATATGTGTGTGTGTGTTCGTCAAAAAGTAGCAATAACTTGCAGAAGCATTTATTTTCCCCTAGTGCTCTTATTCCATAATCTAATTTCTTGACAATGCACTTAATTGAATGGAGAATATTAATCATATGACACTTTTAATCCACCGTCGTAAGTAAAATTCACCATGTTTTTAAAAATTCCATCTTTTGGTCTATTATTCAATTTTCCTATGTTAATATTTATTTCTCTGAAGAACCAAATTCTATCGGAGAAATATATTTGGAGTTAATCAATATCTAATAAGAAATGGGAAATGATTTGAGGTTTATTCATATGATCCTCAAGGAAACCTTCCATGTTTCCATGAATATCTGAATAAAAAACGGTTCATTTACAAATTCTATAAATTCATTTACAAACGGTTCATTTACAAATTCTATCTATTTAAATAAAACATTCTGAAAACATATCTAAAGCTCACGCCCCAAACATTTCCCTATTCTCATGTTCATTGTCCTTCTGTACTGTCTCCCTTCAAGACGTAGATGATCATAGCTCTCCACAACTTCCCATTCTTTGGAGCTTTTATTAATTTTAGTTTTTTCAGCATCCCTCTCACGCTTTGTCCTGCCATTCATTTACACAAACTTGTCATGTACGTTACTCGTTCTCTCTTGCCTTCGAAGTATCCTGTGAATGTCATATTCTCCAAGCCCTCTTTCCACATTATTGTTTCCTAGAACCCTCAGCTACCCCGATTATAAGTATAAGCGTCCTTTTTTTCCATCTTCCTGAAAACATCATTACATGTTCAATCCATGGTATTCTCAGTATCCTTCTGCAGGCCCCACATTGCCATAGCTTGTGTGATTTCATAACTTGTCTCTTTGTGTTCCTACGAAATGTTCCTTTTTCCATACTGACTTTTATACACACAACGTTTCGGCCGTTGCATCCTTCGGTCTTCTTCAGATGTCTTACGACGTACTCAATAACCTTCTGATTTTGTCTTATGTGTTGTTTGTCCGTTTCATCTACTCAACGAGAGTATGTTTTTTAGCACTACCAAGCACAAGGATCGAACTCAAAACGTAGCTAATTTCGTCGTAATTTGAACAGGCCTGATGATTCCACATCCCATGCTAATAAACGTTACTCTATCTGCAAAATTAATAGTAAAATTTAAAAGAGTGAAAGAACTAGCACACATGCTGAACCACAACAATCTGATCAGTAAACCTAGCATAGCGATAAATCGTCGACGTCGGCGGCGGCATCCGTCCGCCTCGAGAGACGATGGAGTAGCGCGGTGCGCTATGAGCCTAGGCGGGATATATGGAGAACTAGGGCTGCCCGGACGTCTACTTCCCCCTCTCGACCTTGCTAGCAGAGTCCAAAATACAGTTTGGTACCAACGCGCCTGCAGAAGTTGCCGGAATGTAGCACAAAGTGCCGTCCATCCGCCTTAGGGTTCCACTCTGGGATTGAATTCAGAGTTGTCCTTCTCCTAGACCAGTTGCCATCCAAGGCTATAGAACCCAGTCTGCCCTTCTATTTATCCATAGCTGGAGGGAGAAGAAAAGGAGTCACACCTTTCCCTAGGGTAATAATCTTCTCGTAAGTGAATGTAATGGATTCGATTGGAATTCGAACTCGGCTCTCCGATTCCTCAATCTAAGCCGCTATCCATTACTCCACCGTGCCTCTTCATAGAGACAGAGATAAATACCACCGTTGTAATAAATATGGCGACAAAGATGGGGACAATAGTCCGAATAATGCAAATACTGAGCATTAAGAAAGACAGAAAATGGCGTTTGACACTGCATTTAAATTTTTGAAGATCGTAGGTGGCGGGGAAGCAAAAAACTGAAAGTTAGTTCAGCCTTCAAGAAAATAGATTATTAGAATAGAACTTACGGTTACATCAAGCTATTTCAGCAGTTAAAGCGATGAGACCTAACCTCCAATCGAGTAATGCCTTTAAATTCATGCGGTCAATGTACCAAAGAAGTGAGATTATTAGTATAACTGCCATGAAAATATTTATAGAAAAGAGAGACGGAAGCCACGTCAGAGTGATGGGAATAAAACCATCGCCGAGATGCCAAATCAGATACTGAAGAAGGCCGGAGCGTACAACGGCCGAAACGTTGTAATAAATATGGCGACAAAGATGAGGACAATAGTCTGAATAATGTAAATAGTGTACATAATACCTCATTTCAGAAATATAGACAGAAATTTTCTTAATGCTGTTGCTTTGTTGCCCATTCTCCTCTCAAAAATCTTTTCATTTTCTTTCACTCCCAGTAACACTTTGCCTCTTAGTGACATTATCGCTTTGCTTGGGGGGGTGAAATCTTAAATGAGAAACACGTGTCTATTACGATGTTATTTGAACCAACTACTATTCAAGAATTTGTATGGAGAAATATATTTATATGTTGCTAATCGTTTTTTTTAAAGAAATGATAAAAGATTAAAATGGAGATGTGTCTTGCATTAAGATATTCTTCAAAATATAAATATTACAAACCTTTGGAGGTTACTGGGGTAAAAGGCTGTTTTCGGGGTCATCACAATTTTCAAAAGTCAATAAAATAACTTACCTGCAAAAAAAGAAAGATAACGATTTTAAGTAAAAATAGGAATGAAAATTATTTGGCGCTCAAACACACCCTCTCACGCAAACAATAACCAATAACGCTTACAAAAATCACATACACACACACACATATACATATAAATTTAAAGACACATAAATACACATTTGTGAAGATTAATTGAGAAAAAAAAAGAATAATTCCTTTAATATTTACTTCTTTTCGTATTTTACTAAACATGTTAGTATTTCGTATCTCCATTTCAAGAAGTTGTTCCTTGCAGATTGACCACAGATTGGCGATTGGATTTAAATCAGGAGAGTTTCCGAGCCAGTCTATAGTACTTTGATTTACTCACTGGTAAGGCTTGCCAGTGTCTTCGTGCAGCGTTACAATTTTCGTACGCTTCGTTGTAGTAACGTCCATCGCAGACAATGGCCGTAGGACAACTAATCGACAGTCGAGACAGTAGTGTCTGGGTGTGATAAAAATCTGAATGAAACCACGTATGATGCAGCATTTTCCAAAGCTAAACAAATCTCATCATACACCCCGAAAATAGATTCATATTACTGCACACCACTGCAAATGCAAATGACCTAATCTGAGGAAAAAAATAGAAATAGATTACACCCTGTCACTCCAGTGGGTCTAAAACTGGCCGAATGTTGAAAGAAAGGAAACTGAAGCGGTTGTTTCAATTAATCTGCACAAGAGTGTATATAAATGTATATATATATGTGTGTGTGTGTGTGTGTGTGTGTGTGTATGTGTGTGTGTGGGCGTGTGTGTGTGTGAAGAAATATAGTTTTAAGCTGTGCTATATTTATGGGATAAAGTGCTGAATATCAGAGATAGAGCGTATGCAAATAGAGATATAAAAGTGAACATGGAAGTCAACACTCAGAGGCGACAGGCTTTTTCATGCTAGACGCAATCGTCAGTATACACACACACACACACACATATATATATATATATATATATATATATATAAAGTATACCTTAAAGGTTTGTTTTTTTTTTAAATATATATATATATATATATATATATATATATATATATATATATATACATTGCAATCCACCTTCACAATACAGGAAAATACTTATTGACAACATCAATATACTACACCATTAAAATAATAAACAAAAACTTCAAATTCTCAAGGTCCTTTATATCAAAAAGAACCTGCTATCTGATGATCCAGAGTCCTTTAAAAGGGCTCCCGTGAAATAAATTATTATAATGGAACCTTAAAGTGGTCCCTTTTTCTTTAATATATATATATATATATATATATATATATATATATATATATATATATATATATATATATGAGTGTGTGTGTGCGTACGTGTGTTTTATTAATTTAAACAATAGATTAAGTGACTACTCGTCTTTGGGTTTTTTAAAAAGTGTAAATTTATGTCTAACGGCTTGTACATTCCAGAGTCTTAATAAAGGAAAGGCACATTTCCGTAGGCTTCGAATCTACGTCAGCCTTTTGGGAAAACTTTCGTATGGCTCGCCGTGATATTCCAACTTCTCAGCTACTAAGACTTTCACATTAAACTGAGTTCATTCGCCCTATATAAACTCCAATATAGTCGATTCGATTTGAATCAAGTAATTGTGCCGACAATATCTTTCAGTTTTAGTATTAATTACCACCACATTGATATCTATGATTTAAATTCCGTGGTCTGCATCTCTGTGTATTTTATTTTCTTATATATCGTTTTATTTAAAAAGATAATACAATTAACTTTCATTCATAATATTTTGAGGGTGATGGAAATGGATGCGGAAATCATTTAAAAAGACAGGCAAAAAACTATCGTTTGTTAATCAAATTCTAATGGCCTACAAAACTGTTTTTTGGGAGCCTATCAATTTCATTTTATACTTGAAAATGTTCTGCTGGAGACAGCTTTCAATTAAGAACCACTGTAGATAATAAATTCTAGATAATATTTCATCCACTGTTTTTAAAATCTTTAAACGCATCTTTTCTCAAATACTTTTCAAATCAACAAGATGAGATGAGCAATGAAAGTACATCTCGCTTCTGCGAGAAATGCTGACGAGAACATATTTAAAATCCCATTAACCAACAACGTAGCATCTCAGCAGTTTTCCTTGGAGACGCCATCGGCAAAAACAAGACTAAAATCTTCTCAAGTGCACTCAACTTGCTCCTTTTGTGATTCGACGGTTGAATAGCCATTTTCAGCTTCCTGTTGATTTTTTTTCGTATTTTCTTTTCTTGCATTTTAGATATGATTCATTTAGCTGATATATATATATATATATATATATATATATATATATATATATATATATATAAATGAATGAGATGCTGAAATAGTCGGTACGTACTAGAGAAGATATTTCAAAAGTTCTCAGTAAATTTTTTATGTATTTTTTTTTCATTTGGCCACGGTTTGGAACGTGGACCATTGCTATACATTTTCAGGAGCGCCTCATGTGTGTGTATGCGCTTGCGTGTTGATAGATAGATAGATAGATAGATAGATAGATAGATAGATAGATAGAATTGACCGTGATAGGTAGATAGATGCGAATTGACTGAGATAGATAGATAGATAGATAGATAGATAGATAGATAGATAGATAGATAGATAGATAGATAGATACGAGTTGACCGTGATAGATAGATACGAATTAACTGAGATAGATAGATAGATAGATAGATAGATAGATAGATAGATAGATAGAATTGACCGTGATAGGTAGATAGATGCGAATTGACCGAGATAGATAGATAGATAGATAGATAGATAGATAGATAGATAGATAGATATGAACAGACGTATCTATGCACGTATGCGTTTATGTATGTCTTAAATAGGTTGGCCAGACTGAAAGACATTATTCAAATCTTACAACTAAAGCAATCACGATCTATCTTGAACATTCTTTTCACTGGATAATGGTAGTTGCTATTCAGAGAGAGGTACAATTGCTCATGATTATAATCTCTCACAGTTTCACGTAATTTCTTATATGAAAGAGCCGAGAATCGGCTGATTTATGAGTCATCATGCTTGAAATCAATTAGACACATCATTTACACACACACACACACACACACACACACACACACATATATATATATATATATATATATATATATATATATATATATATTATATTATACATTAGGAATGTTACTACTACAAAATTGTACATTTTGTTTCGATGTTTAATGAACAACGTCTCCTCAGCTAGTTAACAAAGATGGTAGTAGCAACTTACATGTTCTAACGTAACAGTGTATAATAAATATTTATTAAGCTACTCTTGTATTGAGCCCGGTTTTAAATTAATGTTTGGAACGTCTGAATTTTATTCTTTGTTCTTTGCTGGGAGAGGATAAGTTCATGCGTTTTACAAGGGCAGTCGTGTCAAGTACTCAAAACAGACTCGGTTTGATATAAAAACAAACTGATTCCACTTTGAATCTAATGATAACTGTATCCGTTACTATGGCTTCCCAAAGATCTTTTCTGCTTGAATATTCTATTCTATTCTATTCTACTATCTCTCTCTTTTAGTGAAGGACTCCAAGTTCTCGATTGGGAAATATTTGGAGGTCCTGAGAGACATTCTATTAATTTGCCGTCTTTCAAATCTTTCCGGCAAAGAGGTAGTCACTAGTCATTTTCCACAATCTTTCTATAATTCATAGTGACTACATTCCGTCGTCGAAGTAATTGTGGATTCTCTTGCCTCGGGACGCAGCCAGTCTGCCCAAAAAGACAGATTGTTCCCGTTCGTCATGATAGGGCAAGGGGGACAACTCTGTTTTCAACCAACCTGAAAAAAAGCTTGACTTCCTCACACACTTTGGCCTTGGATGGTAACCAGTCTAGGAGAAAGAAAAATCTGAATTCAAGCCTTAGTAAATAAAAAGAAAGTGCAGACTTAGGAAAGGTGAAATAAGGACGGACAACTCTGACTTCAAAACCAGCCTAAATAATGAGGACTTGCTCTAGACACACACACTGTTGCTGCAGCTGCAGTACATTTGATTCTCCTACGGCTATGTTGGGTTATGTGCATTGTGATTGTCCCTGATATATAAGTCCAGTTGTTTAATAGCAATTCTATAGCATCATGTTATTGCATGCAATTTTCTATATTGAAATATGAAGGTCCATTTAGATATATATTGAGAGAAATCTGGGAAAAGACTCTATAACTATAAGAATATTCTATAAAATAGATTTACCCGATCGAAAGCAAGCTGCGTGATCGTCCAGACAAAACTAAAGAAATATTGAAAGATTGTTTTCTCTGGCATAAGTTCTCTAGAGATAGGAATCCGCTGAGAGTAAAATTATCTACCGTTGTAATTGTCTGCTGTTAATGGCTTCAGAGTAAAACAAGTAAATTTAAATGTCGTTGTGTATAAATTTATTCGCAATGAATATGCGTGAACCTAGCAAAGTACACCCCTTTTGCAAATTAATTGAAACAAAACGAATAATTCCTTTGTTTTTTAGTAATTTTTTTCAATGAAACATGACCCATTTCACATGTTAGTACTTCGTATGTCCATTCCACGAAGTCGTTTCTTGGAGATTGTCGATTGGATTTAAATCAGGAGAGGTTCCGGGCCACTCTATAATACTGTGATTTGCTCACTGGTAAAGCTTGCCAGTGTGTTCCTGCAGCGTTACAATTTTCGTACGCTTCTTTGGAGTAACGTCCATCGCAGACAATGGCCGTAGGACAACTAATTGACAGTCGAGACAATAGCGTTTGGGCATAATGAAATTGATGCAATTACGGATGACACAATATTTTTCAAGGCCAAACAAATCTAGACATGACAGAGTTTTTACTTTTTTTGGGTGGGGGGAGTCTATTTTTATTTTTTTTTATTTTTATTTATTTATTTATTTATTTTTTGCTAATGAAGTTGTATTTGGTTTTTGCACCGAAATTAATGACACTAATGGTTAAATGAGAAGTATTCTTTATTTATATGATACTAATAATATTTATGCTTAAATGGTAAATACTTATATATATATATATATATATATATATATATATATATATGATGATTGACCCTCCCATCGTTTTTGACGTATGAGTGTCTTTCAGTTCAGTTTTTATTTTTATGTTTTGTATGAGACAAAAATCCTGCATGGGATTTGCAAACAAACAGCATAATGAAGGGTTGACCCTCATATGGACTGATGAATGGTTCGAGGTTTTATGTTGGTTCTTAATTCTCTCAGATGTTTGAGATGATTATTTTCAATGTTACTTATACCTCGGTAACAGGTGATTCTACAGTTTGCTCCATTTTCTGCAACGGCTTCGAACTCCTCTATACATATTGCAGCATTTAAATTGTATTTAAGTTTATCCTTGAAGCGTAACCAAGGATGGCTTACATTACGCTTACCCTGAAAAAGTTGACTATACATGAGAATTTTTGGCATCCGATTATCACACATTCTGATGACATGAGCAGCCCATCTGAAGTGTAGTTGCATCAGAAAGGATTCAATACCACCAATGCCACATTTGATGAAAACATCAGGGTTAGAGATTTTGTCCTGCAGTGTATAACCACATATTTAACGAAGACAGCGTTTATGAAAAGCATCAAGTTGATTGATGTGCGTCCTGGATGGAGTCCATGATTCTGACCCATATATATATATATATATATATATATATATATATATATATTGATACATGGTTCATTAAATAATCTAGACAAGTGTTGTCTATTTATTTTATGTAATTTCTTTTCATAACGTCTGATAAGCTTAATAGCATTATCATTAAACGAAGAAAGAAAATCACAATATTGATACATATTTTTTAATCCAATCTAAGCTTTCGGCTTACATAAGCCATTGTCAAAGATGACAATTACAGTACAATATATTAAGCAATAGACGGACAAGAATGTGATGATAGTCTGTTTCTGTTTACATGGATGATTTCCAAACAACAATAAACACGTGTATATAAGACGCTGGAAGCGAAAATCGCATCGCAGCTCATGACGTAATTTCCTTCAGTTGGTTCGGGGTAGTTATTTCATTTAGTTTATAGTAGATGTCCTGTTTCTTGCTGTTAAGGGTGTTCAATTTTTCCTTGGCTATTTCAAATTGCCTTTTCATAAGGCTACGTTTATAATTCGAAGTGTCTTGGCCGCAGGGAAAAAATCTGCCCCGTCAGTCATGTATCGAAAGGGCGTGTCACTGTCAACTTAGTTATTACACATTTTGTTAAATTTTGAGCGAGAATTGGCTATATTATTAGACTAAAAAATGATCTCAATTTTCTTGTGCGGACAACACGTACAAACATATATATATATATATATATATATATATATATATATATATATATATATTCACATGCAAAGAAACGAAGAGTAAGATTTTAGTAGCATCGTGATTTCCCACCTGATGAAACGTTAGAAAAAAATTTTTTAACGTTGAAACAAGATGTACAGTTTTGTAGTGCGTATGCCCATTTTCTTATGTAACACTGCATATTATTTATATATGCATATATATATATGCGTGTGTGTGTGTGTGCGCGCGCGCGTATATGTGCACGTGTGTGCGTATGTGTGTGATAAAAATATATTTATGGCTAAAAGGGATCAAGGTCATGGTTAGAGCGTGTGTAAGTACAAAAGTGAACACTGAGTGGTGACAGGCTTGAAAATTATTTTAAATAAATTCTTGACCTTTTCACAGAAAATGTATTCCAATATTTCGATAAAAAAATTTTGTCGAAAAACAGTAAAAGAATTTAATATAATCATAGTGTTAAGTAAATTATATGAGATGATGGAGAGGATTTTTTTTCTGCCTCGTTATATCGGGAATATTTTTTTGCAGAAATTTCTACAAAATCGGAGGCATTTAGAATGGAAATAAAGTCTTGGTACTATTAAAAACAAATACCATATGTTAATGCGTTTGTGAGAATATATTTCTGCTAATTTTCTTGTGAGGCTTTTTGCCTTATCCATCATTTTACACTTAATTACCGATATATCTTCCTCATGTTTAAACGTAAAAATAGCGGGAAACAGATTTGCTGAAAGCTTCTCAGTCCCGACATGTAAAGAACCCCTTAAATTCTCATATTACAACATTTGTTCTGATTACAGAAGTTAGGGCGGAGTGTAAACCCTTCCCCTAACCTTTCACATATGTATAAAGAATACAACAGAAAACAATCCACAGCCCTTTTTTTTTTCTTTCGTCTTCCCTTCTCTCAGTCTTCACAAAATTCTCTTTAAATTCTTCATGCCTTCTCTCTTTCTCTCTTTATTCGGGATTTTCCTCTTCTCCATATATGCCGTTTATGCATAGTGCGGCAGAAATACCGCCCAGAAATACCTCCCAGAAATACCTCCCAGAAATACCTCGCACATAATGGTAAAACATTATGCACAGGGTATAACAGGAATACCTACCACATAACGGTAAAACATTACCGACAGTGTGTGGCAGAAATACCTCCTACATCATGGTAAGGCATTAGTTTAGAGGAAGAAATTATTGTCATATGCCTAAGCTCACTATCACCACACAGATGACAGTTGAAAATGTGGGAGTGAATTCTGCTAGACTAATATGCAATCATTGTGGGAAATACACCCTTGTTAATTGAAACAGCCGTTTTAGTTTCCTTTCTTTCATCATCCGGTCTGTTTTAGACCCATTGGAGTGACAGGGTTTAATTGATTTCTATTTTTTCCTGAGATTACGTCATTTGCAGTGGTGTGCAGCAATATGAATTTATTTTTGGGGTGTATGATGAAATTTGTTAGACCTTGAAAAAGATTGTGTCATCCGTGATTGCATCAGATTTTTATCA